GTGTAATGAGAAAACAAATACCGAATATAAATGAGTTTTGACTGGGAAGATTAGAGGTACAAGAAGCCAAAGAAGACAGTGAATTAAATTCCATATAGCAATTGGATGCAACTGGGAGGAGTATCTCATGCAAAGTTCTTGGTTAATGTTAACGGTCAGAGCTACATGGAAGAAGGCCATGATCACCACCATCTTTGAGAAAGGGCGTGGCACCATAAAGAAAGGCAGCAAAATGTCACTGCAATAAACGTTGGCGTTCTGCATGCAAAATGCCACCACTTACATATCTTTGCACACGCTGCAAAATCTGCGAATACCCATCAGCCGATTTTTTTTCCCTTTCAAATAATAGTTGACAAATAGAGAAACGCAGTAACGACATTCGTGAAAGTTTACTTAATGAAGGCAGAGCTCTCATTGTTGAATTCCGGGACTGTACGGAGCTCTCGTGGAGACACGGACGAGGGCCCGCGGCCCACTTGGGCGTTCGAAGGGGCGTCGCCTATCCCACCACCGTGTGCCACCTCGGCAGCCTCGTGCATCTGTGACGCACTGCAGCCACCCTGCCGTTGATGCCGTATTTGCAAATGTGATTTAAGCACTTTGATCATTACCCCTGTGTGTATCGATAGTTCGATGTTAAGCTGCTTTTTAATTGCTGCTGCTGTTATCTTGGCGTGGTCTGGGACTGTTTTGTTGTTTTCTGTTGCCTTGTTCAATCTTTATAAAATCAGACATATAATTAATTAATCATTTTTCGTGTTTTTTTATATTTAGTCACTTGCTAACCATTTTGTCAATTTTGCACTCGAACTGTTGTTTGTATTGTTTGCTATTGTAACTTTCTAACCCGCTCATACTGGTCATGTCTGAAAAAGAGCATATTAGCTCATCGGATTCCTCCATTCCAACTAAAAGATTCTGGTTCTGGTATCGTACAGCCGACACATTGGCACTGTTCGGGTTGACTCTGGCAGAGCTGGTGAGTTTGCATTAAGCCCAAGATGTGAATCACAAGGAGCGGACTTGACATAAATCAGCCAATTTCCGAATGCATTTTAAAGCAATTTATTTGTCATACTTGCTGAGCACAGGGCCCAAATGCAAAGTGCACCAAGTGGCAAACAACAGCAAGGACCGTTGGAGTTCCACTGTAAGAGACGGACTGTCCAGATAGCTCACACGTTAGAGCACTGAGGTGGCACTGCTGAAGCTCTGGGTCATCAGGCGTGGTGAGTTGATGGTCTCAGCCCGGACATCAAATAAGTTCTGAAAAAAAGGCCGTTACATTACAATTGGTTCTGCCCTTAAATGGGCAAACATTCCAGCTCTGATAGAATTGAGTTGATACGTTTCTTGAGTTGAGCAATGTGTGTAATTAGAGTTTGGGGAAAAGAGACAATACGATAAAAGAAGCAGAAAGAGAAGTGGCTTGGGCTGCAGTTTGGTGGCTGAACCCCGCAAGGGTGTGAGGTGAACCAGTCTGTTAGATCAAGCCCTCAACATGCGCGGAGGAATAATTGAGTGAAGTTCAAAGGAAGAGTAACCATGGTAATAGCAAGAGGTGAGTGTTAAAGAGGTGACCGCATGCTGCTGCTCCACTGAATTCTGTCGGGTGCAGCAGTGAAGTCGGAGATGGGTGCTCCATCCCAGATGTGAGAGCAGCAGCAGCAGAATTCCAGCTGGGATTGAATGTGTGCTTTGTACAGCAGCAGTTTATAATTGTTCAGAGTTAACGAGGTGTTGGCATTGAACACAAAACGAGCTTCTTTAATACACCCTAAACCAGATTAGTAACACGGCCATTCCATGACAGATCACATAAGATGATTGTGCAAAGTAGAGAAATGGTTGTGCTTTGGATAATAATATCGTTGTTTAAATATGGTGGGAAGGGAAGTGAGGAATTGCCAGCCTTGTGTGGTATTATCATTCCCTGGGTTTTTTTTAGTTGAACCCGACCGGTTTATTTGTCACTCCAATCAAGAACTGCATTCAAGTCAGCGGTGATTTATCCTGAGACATCGGCACGTTGGGGCAGCCGTCTCTTGAAATGAGAGTGATGCACGCAGCTTACGGCCTTCTGTGAGTGTGAGATTAGAAGTATTTCGCAGCGAGAAACAATAATGCTGGAAAAAAAACTGTCTTGTGAATAACCAGAGCTAATGGTGAAAATATCTTGATTCATATAATTTTTTGGGTTAGGACATGGAATGATTTGCCAGATCTGTGTTGTTAAAACCCTGAAGCACCCAACACAGCCAAACAAAGTAAACCGTCGCGTGGTGTACAAGCATTTAATGATGTGCCAAATATTATTGTTTTGTTTCAACGGTGAATTGATGAACAATTATATTCTTTGGGTCTTTCGGTTAAGCCATGTAGATAGAAAAAATAATAGCAATATCACGACGTTTCGATCGCAACACAAGAAGTCGTCTTTAGGTGAAAAAAGAGGGGGAAATCTTCCGAGGCAGGCTGTTTATGAAGGTTTAGAGATGGGCGGGGCAGCTAATGTTAATGTAGGAGAGGTCTCCGTACCCTGCAGTAGGTCTACACCAATCAAAGAGCTGTTTACAAATGGTTTAGAGAAGGTGGGGCAGCTAATGCCAATGTGGGGGAGGTACTACGGAGCTGTGGGGGGTGGCGATTGTATTGTGAGTGATTAGCATGTCAATGTAAGAATTTGAAGCTCATCGAGAGCTCGGACAGTGCAGTGGCCACATGGAGGTGGAAAAGAATGGCAAGCCGCCATTTACTAACACACCTAACAGTGGCTGTGTTAGTGAATGTGGTTGTGGGGGGTGGCCATTGTATTGTGAGAGATTAGCATGTCAATGTAAGACAGCGCAGTGGCCATATGGAGGTGGAAAAGAATGGCAAGCCGCCATTTACTAACACAGCTAACGGTTCTAGATTTGAAGCTTTCGTGACTGCAAGGATCCATACTTTTTGGTTCTATTCGGTAAAGTCACGTCGGTAAAAAATAAAATAACAAAAATCATGACGTTTCGGCCACAACACAAGTGGCCTTCATCAGGTGAAGGGACCGGACTGTCTAGAGGACAGCGTTGGAGTGAAGACAGCCAAGCCCAGGGCGCGTCCTTAAAGCTGTGTGGGAGGAAACAAAAAACGCCTTGACAAAGGAATTAGCATAACATGATGTACTGGACCGGCACGGTGGGGTGGGGAGTTTACATAATGTTGGTGTGAAGGGACATAAGCTGCTGTGAAAGTTTCTAAAATCGGCCAATCAAATGCTAATTTTTATGCTAATTTCTTAGTCAGGACACCTTGTTTGCTCGCACACAGTTTAAAGGTCCGCGGTCTGAGCGTGGTTGTGTTTCGCTAAATTCTCCTGTTTGATTTGTACTAGGTGCCTCGGTGAATGTATATGCTCTGACTTTAACATAGCTATTTCTGTGACCAGTTACAAACTAATCACTCAGCTATTTCAATGCTAAATTCTATGCTAATTCCTTTGTCAAGGGGTGCCTCTGTGGATGTGTATACTTTAACTTAGCTATTTCAATGAGCCATTTCAATGCTAAATTATATGCTAATTCCTTTGTCAAGGCGCTTTGTTTCTTCTCACACAGCTTAAAGGTCGTGATCTGATCACTCCAGCGCTGTCCTCCAGACAGTCTCGTCCCTTCACCTGATGAAGGCCGCTTGTGTTGTGGCCGAAACGTCGTGATTTTTCTCTTCTTTGGTTCTTTCGGTAAAGTCACGTAGAATGAGAATAAAATAATAAATTCATAAAATACAATAACACAATAATATTCTCACGACGTTTCGGCCACAACAGAAGCGGCCTTCATCATGTTGTGGCCGAAACGTCGTAAGAATATTATTGTGTTATTGTATTTTATCAATTTATTATTTTATTCTCATTCTACGTGACTTTACCGAAAGAACCAAAGAAGATGAATCCTTGCAGTCACGAAAGCTTTAAGTCGTGAATTTTGTTATTTTATTTTTTACCTATGTGACTTTACCCAATAGAACCAAAGAGTATGGATCCTAGCAGTCACGAAAGCTTTAAATGTAGAATGGAGTATCAATCTTTTCTCGAATTCCCAACTCCACTGCATCCCAACACTATGCAGCAAAAGACAGTGAGGCAGTATTTGCTGTGAGGCATTCTCAATGTTCTGTTCACGTTTTTTTTTTTTAATCTGTAATTGTGGAATGCTTTGATGCTGTCTGTGGGCCGAGTCGCACCTCCGATTAGTACGGTTGGCTACGTACGGTGCGAAAGAAGTTCTACATACATATGTAAGGACAGTACGGGGCCTAATGGCCATAAATAAGGATTGCAGCTGAGGACAAGCAGGGTCAAGTGAGGTAACTGGGTGAGGAGTCACCGCGGGAGGGGTGGAACCCACGAGGTGTTAGTGAGGCTAAGAAATCTCTGACAGGAGAGAGTTCGGGAAAAGGGGTGTGGCCATGCCGAGGGGAGATAAAAAGGCAGCACGGAGTGGGGCTCGAAGCTGCCGCGGGGAGTCTGAGTCCCGACTGTAGTCGCTGTCATCGCTGTGGATCACCCTCATCGTCTTGGAAGGTTAGCGAAGGAAATTATATATCTACGCCATGGCTACTACATTGACGGCTCCTATATAATCAGTCAGCTATGTAGTGAACGTCATGTAGCAGCTACATAGTCACCCAGTTGTAACATAGTCAACCTGCGTCCATCTGATAACACGTCGGGTGGACTGTATTGTATAATGGATATATATATAAAACTTAAGAAGACAGCGTCTCTGAGTGCTACATTACACATACGTACGAGTAACCCTTGAAAAAAGTGCATCTTAGCTCAATGGGCTTTACTCGGAAAATAAACGCCTGATTCTAATATGTTTGCATGGCACTTGCTCAAGAGCATGTTGGAAAAAATAACATTCTTCATTGGTGACAATACAATCTCTACCGTATTTTAACACGTTGAAAGGACTGCTTGCAAAAGTTAATTGTGTATGCGTGTGTGTATGCAGGAAATGGAGGCAGGGATAAGGCTTGCGATGCTGGGATGCTTTGTGTTGGCTTCTCTCATGTCATCTGCTCAGTCCCAAATGTTACATGGTGAGGTCATCCATCACTGTATTTCCCTACAGCTTGCATCAATAGATTTTTTCATGGCAACATAATTAATGCCATTATTTTGTACTGTACTTTCAAAAGCAAATATTCTGTTCTACCACATTCATATTTCAAATGCTGCAACTTATCTTTTGTCATTTGATTAAATATTGTTTATTTTATTTCGTTAATAAGGCATGAAGTATTAATAACAAAAATATGTGTGTGTTTAACTTCCATTTTGTATCTCACGTAGAGCAAAACTTCTGAAAAATAATGAGAAAGACCTTTTGTAGATTTGCTCATGGCCCCATTCTCATAGCACAGTTTCCTCAAGAAGGTGCTGGCCTATTTCATATACACAGCCTGCAGTATTCTTAGCTCTTTCGGTAAAGTCACGTTGAAGGGAAACAATAGAATAATAAAATATATAAAACAATAAAAATTCTCACGACGTTTCGACCATAACACAAACGGTCGTCATCAGGTGTGTCGGTTTGCATAATGCATAATGCAAACCGACACACATGACTTTACCGAAAGAGCTAAGAATATGAATTACTGCAGTCACGAAAGCTTTAAATCAAAATTTTACAGCCTGCAGTAGTTTCTCAGTAGGGGGCGATGTTGCTGTGTGTAATTCCAATTGGGTCATTTGCAGATTAGTTTTCAAACTTGGCAAATTTGGACTGTGACACCGGACAAAGCGACCAACTCTCTTCGAATTACATCACAGGAAACATCGCCTTCTCAGATTTTTTCTAAATGTGTCCCATTACAGACCTTTCATTGATTGATTGAAGCAGACGGTGCGTAGTATTTTAGAGTTAATACACCAGCAGTAACGGCCACACGGGGGCCCGATGGGTGGATCCTGTTACCCACGTTCATCCGTGCATTTTCCTGGACTCCTTCAGCTGAAGTGCGAATAAACATAGATCGTAGGACAAATTCGCCGCCACTTCTGGGCACCTCTTACCCACGTGGAGGCTTGTGTTGGGGATACCGCATCCGGGTGACTCTTCTGGGAGAAAGTCTCTGATAATAGGAGCACTTTGCAGACACTTTGTGGGTCACTTTTTCCTATCCACAAGAGTGCTACGATAACAGGAAGACTCCAGCATACAGGTGATAAGAATGTGCGTGGCTCTCTTAGGGCGAATGGGCGGTACGAAGCGTGGATAGTAGGTAGTCGAAGTAGAGGATTTTTACTGATTATACATTGTTTATGAGAATCATAGAAAACCAAAGATTGGGGATTCTAGACACAGACCCAGCGTTTTGGCAATGGGAACGGCCATAGCAGCAGCAGCGCTGCACAACGCCGCACATGGCCTTGTCAGGGAGTGCGCGCAGTTTACATCGTCATTTAATCCACAATAATGCACTTCATTCAGCTCCAGTTGTCTTAACGTTTTTCAGATTATGTATGATGTGCCGCTTCCCGCGTCAAATGATGAGAGTTTTTGTAACTTGGACATCACCTTCAATTCCAGTAGCACAGTACTGTATATGTACTGTATATTAACCTAACACTTTGGTGACATTGTTTCGTTGCAGGATGCTTGAACGTAGAAGCTGACCTTGTCTTCCTGGTCGATGGTTCCTGGAGCATTGGAAGAACAAATTTCGAGGAGATCCGAAACTTCTTGCTGGCCATTGTGAGAGGCCTGGATGTCAGGCCCGAGAAGGTGCGGGTGGGCCTCGTCCAGTTCAGCTCCGAGCCGCGCACCGAGTTCCAGCTCAACAGCTTCTCATCCCAAGACGCCGTACTGGACGCCATCGCCAAGCTGCAGTACCAAGGGGGTGCCACCCGCATGGGCATGGCGCTCGACTTTCTGATATCCAACCATTTTGTAAATTCGGCAGGCGGCCGAGAAGGAAGTGTGAAACAGGTCATCGTTTTGATCACAGATGGAACCTCTCAGGTAAGACGGTTCGGAAAACTGAAACAGCTTAACGTATATTTGTGAAGGAACTTTTTGTTTTATTTAGTTGTTGCATGATAAAGCGCTCGTGAGTGGCCTTGAGATTAGGTTTATTGGAATTCCACCTTCTTATGGCTGGGGATAGTCTATCCATACGATGCTCCGATGAAGTGTTTCTCGTTTGAATGACCCTGAAGAGGCTGACTTGAAACTTGACCGGGATTTGAACTTGAGTAAAACACTCTACCCACAGTTTTCTACGGCTGTAAAATATCACGTAGCAATAATAATGTATTGATCTTAAGGCAGTAGGGTGGCGCAGAGGTAAAACTTGCGCCTCACAGCAAGAAGGGCCTGGGTTCTAACCCCGATTTGGGCACCTGTATGTGTGGGATTTTGCACGTTCTCCTTTCCCGGTTCTGCAAAGGTTTCCTCCCGGGTTCTATGATTTCCTTACCAAAAGCAAAAAGAAACACGTAAATGGTCTTGACAAAAACATGCCAATGTTGAACATGTACCTGCAAAATAATCGAGTTGGGATTACTTATAGCAGCAACATCACAACGTCGCTTCCTACTGCGAAACAGAGTCTGAAACAAGCGCGATAATAACAACGGTTGACCGTCTGACTTTGAATTGACGACCTCGGCTTGCCAGTTCAGTATATTGCCATGATAGCCTCCTGGACCATGCAACCATCCAAATTCAATATAGTTTGCTCCCATTGACATTTCATATGCTCAGCATGCTTTGAGACGTAGCATATACAATCAAAACAACAATTGGCATTTTTAAAAAAGTAACCTGTCATTAAATTTCAGCTGCTGATGCTCCATATATATACAGGTTGTTCTCCTATAACGTGGCGGTTGTAGTTGCGTTCCCGAAGAACACTGCATTGTGGTAAAATCGCATTTAAAATAAACTAGCGGGAAGTACCCGGAGTTGTCTGGGTCTTAAAATATTTCAAAACTACTCTTAAAAATCTAACAGCAGTGCGTACTGACTGTGGTGGTACCTGCTATGATTAAAGCAGTGCATACTGTGGTGGTACCTGATTTCACTGCAGCAGTGCATGCTGATTCTATAGCAGTATTTATCCACTGTATAGCACAAAGAACTCACCTGACAGAGTGGTGTGGTGAGGCCTAGTCCCGTGCAGAGCCTCCGGCCTCGCCTAGTTTGTCCAGCCGGCCGAGGTGGCACCTTGGCAGGCTGGGGCTGGGCTGCTACACCTGACCCCCTCCCCCCCCCCCCCCAGCCACGATCTCCCCGGCCGCTCTGCAGTAATATCTACGGTCTATAGTGGTAGCACCTAGCGACTGTATAGTAGTAATAACTGCACGCATCGGGGTGGGGGGTACATCACACAGTGAAGAATTAATGTCAGCGTTTAGTGTATTCTTATAGCATTTTTTACGCGAAAGAAAATGTCCCCCTCCCTCCCGCCAAAGGCGCGTGAGTTGGTATGGGCATGCACGCGTCATAAATAAATAAAAGGGAAGCGCATAAAAATCGCACTAAATCGCTAATTTTACTCATTTAAAGTTGACGGATGTGAAAAAGGAATAGCGCTTGCTCACCGTGGGGCTTACGGCGTGGTACCTGTCTATTTCTTTTTTACTTAAACCCCACTGTTGGAGAGGCAAATCGATCGCAAGCGCGGGAACACACACAAACCCACAAACAGATATTTTTTGGCTTTTACATATACAGATAATATACAGGGTGTTTGAAAAAAAATGGACCCGATTTGAAATTGCTATATCTCTGCAACCACGAACCACCCATGAATTAAACTCTTACCACTTGAAAGGACGGGGCATAGAGTTTGAAATGATTACTGCTAGATGCCTCTCCCAGCGCACAAACAGCCCGTAGCCTCAGCCATTAGCAAGACACACTGCCTCAATATTGGATAGCTAGCACGGGATCCTAAGACCCCCAGACATCACACCCTGCGACTTTTTCTTGTGGGGATACGTCAAAGACCGTGGTGTTTTTGTGCCACCATTAGCGACTAATCTGGATGACCTCAAAAACAGAATCACGGCAGCGGTGACTTCAGTGGAAGAAGACACTTTGAGAGGCGTTTGGGACGAATTCAACTATCGTCTCGATGTTGTCCGTACAGCAGGTGGAGGGCACATCGAGCATTTATAAAATCATTAGTAAAACGTGATAAATCATTAAACCATTTGTAACTTTTTGTGTAATAGTAACATGTTGCCATCGTGAAATATACTGCTTTGAAATTGGGTCCATCATTTTCAAACACCCTGTATAATACTTTTTTCGGTAAAGTCACGTAGGTGAAAATAAAGTAAAAATGAAAAACTAAATTAAATCACGACGTTTCAGAGGCAACACAGGTGAAACTGTTACAGCCAAAATCACTGTAGTAAGTGGAGAGAGCTAATAGAGATACGCGATTATATAGGGTAAGAGGGGGGGAGGAGCCAATGGGGACCGCAGGGTAGGGGGGGGGGCGCCATGTGGAGTCGGGGGGGGGGGGGGGATACACTGAGATAAGCCGGCGTGTGAACATGGGGGCGGAAGTTAAGCTGATAAATAAGAACGCTAAGTTCAGTCGATTGATAACATTTACTATGCAGGAGAGGGTGGGGGGGGGGGGGGGTGAGGATTGGGGTGCGGAGAATACGGGGGCGGAAGTTGAGCTGATTAATAGGAATGCTAAGTTAAGCTGATTGATAACATATATTTATTATGCAGGAGAGGGGGGAGGGTGAGTATTGGGGCACGGAGATTAGAGAGGCTTCGGGGGCACCATGTGGAGTCGGGGGGGGGGGGGGGGGGTAAGCTGCATGTACCACGGAGGGGGGGGGGGGAGAGTGAGATGGGGGACAATTTTGCACGATTAAAAACACTGTACGTCAAATTTCCTCGTGATGGTAGAGTGCAAAGCTGGGAGTAAAAGACTGGAAATATGGATATGAATATAAACTATAAGGCAGCCAACATTTAACTTGGTTGATGACATCCTTCCAATGATTGCTCAATTTGAATCCATCCTCTCAGTTGAAGTTATGTCTATGTTTGTATATCTGGATGGCTTCATGGACAAATCTTTGGTAGTATCCAGATGGCTTACAGAGTACCTTGGTATATCAATATCATGAGAACCTACCGCGTTGTAACAATGGTCAGCTACGGCAGAATAATTCGTCCTACCGTGTTTCAAATCTGACTTGTGCTCACGAATGCGGTCAGATACATGTCGTTTCGTTTCCCCGATATAACAATCACCACAAATGCAACTCAGTTTGTAGACACCAGGGTACTGTAAGTCAGGAATGACATCTTTTACGGATGGGATCAGATCACAGATTTTGTGTACTGTACTGAATTGGACCTGGATATTGTGTTTGTTTAGAATTTTGAAAATCCTTTTGGTAACGCCTGCTATGTATGGCAACATTAAGGTTTTGATCGGAGTCTCAGGGGGTTCATATTATTGGTTCTTTCGGTAAAGTCATGGAGAAGGGAAACAATAAAATAATAAATAAATACAAATCTCAGGGGGTTGTTTCTCCACGGTAGGAGAAACAGCTTTGCGGATAGTACGGTCCGAGTATCCATTCATCTTAACGGCCAGGTGTACATGTTCTAATTCACTGGCCAGGTGGTGTTGGTCAGAGATGCAGTGGGCCCTATGGTGTAGTGTTTTGATGAGGAAATTATTTTGTGCCGGATGGTGGTGGGAATAAGGCTTCAGATAGGAACTGTGTGGGTGGCCTTCCTGTAGACAGAATGTCCCAAAGAGCCATTGGACCTCCTCTCAAACAGAGCATCTAAGAATGGTAGCTTGCCATCCTTCTCCACTTCCATGGTGAATTTGATGTATGGATGTATGGAGTTAACGTGGTCGAGAAATTTGTTCAATGCTGGTAGGCCATGTGGCCAAATGACGAAAGTGTCATCCACATATATCTTCCATAGGAAAGGACACAAGGTGGATGTCTGGATGGCGTCTGTTTAAAATTTCTCCATGAAAACATTGGCTATCACTGGTGACAAGGGGGAACCCATAGGAGTACCCTCATTTTGTTTGTAGAAGGTACCATTCCAGGTGAAGTACGTGTTGGTGAGGCAGTGCCTAACCAGCGCAGGGACATCAGAGTTCAGTCCATGTTGGACTAAGTCTTCAATTATTGTTATGGTGTGAGGCCCTGGAACCTTGGTGAATAGAGAAACCACTTCAAACCTAAGAATATGAATTACTGCAGTCACGAAAGCTTTAAATCACTTCAAACCTGACGAGGACATCATCAGGAGACAGTGAAATGTCCTTAACTAGAGAGACCAAGTGAGTTGAATTAAGTACTGCTGAATTGGTCTTGCCAGTAAAGGGAAGCAGAGTATCCGATAGAAAACGGGCTAGTTTGTAGGTAGGTGAGTTGATTGTGGACACGATGGGCCGTAGTGGGGTACCTTCTTTATGGATCTTGGGAAGACCATAGAATCTGGGTGGTCTAGCAGCTGAGGATTTTACGGAGAGCCGCTTGACTGGTTTGATTAGGGAAGTCGAACTGGTAATGATCTTGTTGGTTTTAGCAGTAAGGCTGTTAGTCGGATCTCTATTCATTTTGGAGTAGCTGCCATCATTGAGTAGGTCCTGGATTTTGTTGTTGTATGTGGTTTTATCCATGATGACAGTGGCATTGCCCTTGTCGGCCGAGAGGATGACTATGTCATCCCTCTTTTTTAAATTTGCGAGTTTTTGTTGATGTTGCTAATGGGTTTCTTAGCATTTTTGAGGATAGTGGCTATTTCAGCTCTAGCAACGTCCATTGGGATGTGTTCTAAGCCTTTGAGGGCTACATCGACCCGGGAGATTATATCCTCCACTGGGATATGTTTAGGGGTAACTGCGAAATTCAGCCCTTCAGCTAGTACCGTTTTTAGATTGTCAGAAATTGGGATGTTACCCTGATTAGTAACAATCTTGTTGACATTTAACTTTGTAATGTGTGGCTCTG